TGAGGGTTGCGATCCCGTTACCGGTCACGAAAAAAGACAAAAAAAAAAAAAAAGAAAAAAAAAGAAAAAAAGATACAGTAAGCAGATACTAACCAAAAAGAGAGCAGAGGTGGATATATTAGTACCAGAAAAGACTAATTATTAGACAAAAACCACATTATTATCAATAAAGAGGATCACAACCTACTGATATAAGGTTCAACTTACTTAGAAAATATCCTAAACTTGTATGTCTCTAATAACATAGCCTCAATATATATAAAGCAAAAATGGGTAGAAACACGAAATTGACAAAACCGCCATCACCGTTAAAGATTTCAAGTCTTCTTTCTCAATTAGCAATACATTAAGAAAACAAAAAATTAGTGATGATATAAAAGATTTTGCTAATACAATTAACCAGCTTGATTTAGTGTGTATATATATAGAATTCTATACTCAACTAGTGAATATACATTTTCCCAAGCAAAGCACAAATGGGTCATTAAAAAAAATTGACCATGTAATTGGCCATAAAGCAAGTTCCAATCAATGTTCAAGGATAGGTAACATACAGTATAGACAGCATATTCCTCGATCACAGTGAAACTAAGTTAGAAGTCACTAACATAAAATACATTTTTTAAAGTCCCATACATTCAGAAATTTAAAACCAGATTTCTCAATAACTCACAAGTCAAAGGATAATTATAGAAACTAAATAATAGTACTTAGAGTTGAACAATGATTAAAATACTATTTTCCAAACTTTTGGGGAGATGTAAAAATGGTACTTTGTGCCTTAAATGTTTATATTTTTAACAAAGAAAATAAAGGCTGAAAATTAAGAAAACAGAAAAAGAAAATATAATGTAACTTCTCAAAATGAAAAAATTAAGATGGCAGAAATCTCTGAAATAGAAAACAAGAAAATCAATAAAACCAAAAGTTGGTTCTTGGAATAGACTAATAAAACTGGCAAATCTCTGGCAAGACTGATCAGGGGAAAAAAATATTAGCAAAGTAAAAAGAAACATTATTACAGATAAAGCACATTTTTTTCTGTAGATAGCTGATAAAAGATAAACAAACACCCACAGCAAACACCATATTTAATAGTGAAAATGCAGAAATCTTTTCTTTAAGATCAAGAGTGTAAAGATGCTACTGTTATCACATCTTTTCAGCATCGTATGGGTGGTTGTAGCCACTACACCAAGAGAAGAAAAGAAAAAGGTGTAAAGACTGAAAAGTAAGAAAATGTGAATTAAAAGAATTAATTAAATTTTTTTAAAATTAAAAAGAAATAAATTAAAAAGACAAATAAGGTTTTAGTAAGGTGGCTAATAAAGTAGAGGGGCAAAAATCAATTGCATTTCTATAAACGAGCAACAAATAGTTAGAAAACAGAATTTTAAAAAACTGATATAATTTACAACAGGAAAAACTACTGTAAAGTACCTAAGACAAATCCAACAAAAGATATGTAAGACTTTTATGGAGAAAATTATCAAAACTTATTGAAAGCCATTAGAGAAGACTCAAGCAAATAGAAAGAAATACCATGTACATGGTTAGGAAGGCTTACTGTCATAAAGGTATAAATTCTCTCCAGGTAGATTTCTACGTTCAATGGAATCCAGGGTTTTCCATGGAATTTGACAAGTTAATTTTTAAATTTACATGGAAAACCAAGGGACTAAGATAGTCAAGGTACTCATAAGGAAAAGANATGGCAGAAATCTCTGAAATAGAAAACAAGAAAATCAATAAAACCAAAAGTTGGTTCTTGGAATAGACTAATAAAACTGGCAAATCTCTGGCAAGACTGATCAGGGGAAAAAAATATTAGCAAAGTAAAAAGAAACATTATTACAGATAAAGCACATTTTTTTCTGTAGATAGCTGATAAAAGATAAACAAACACCCACAGCAAACACCATATTTAATAGTGAAAATGCAGAAATCTTTTCTTTAAGATCAAGAGTGTAAAGATGCTACTGTTATCACATCTTTTCAGCATCGTATGGGTGGTTGTAGCCACTACACCAAGAGAAGAAAAGAAAAAGGTGTAAAGACTGAAAAGTAAGAAAATGTGAATTAAAAGAATTAATTAAATTTTTTTAAAATTAAAAAGAAATAAATTAAAAAGACAAATAAGGTTTTAGTAAGGTGGCTAATAAAGTAGAGGGGCAAAAATCAATTGCATTTCTATAAACGAGCAACAAATAGTTAGAAAACAGAATTTTAAAAAACTGATATAATTTACAACAGGAAAAACTACTGTAAAGTACCTAAGATAAATCCAACAAAAGATATGTAAGACTTTTATGGAGAAAATTATCAAAACTTATTGAAAGCCATTAGAGAAGACTCAAGCAAATAGAAAGAAATACCATGTACATGGTTAGGAAGGCTTACTGTCATAAAGGTATAAATTCTCTCCAGGTAGATTTCTACGTTCAATGGAATCCAGGGTTTTCCATGGAATTTGACAAGTTAAGACTCAAGCAAATAGAAAGAAATACCATGTACAT